TCTCTCTCTCTCTCTCTCTCTCTCTCTCTCTCTCTCTCTCTCTCGCTCTCTCTCTTTCTTTCTCTATTATGCACGATTATTAAATGGCGAAGAATTCAATTCTCTCTATTTTTATAATCGCCCATGAGACCTCTTCATGCTTCACTGATCTCGCCTTTCCTCCATCATGAATCTATCGACGATCTTTTGCATGGACTCTCGCAATTCGTCTGGACCACTGGCGGTTCCGCTCGTTGTTGTAATTACTTGAACAGTTCTCGTTACTCTGTAAAAAATAATCTTTGTAAATATTACATATGTTTTATACTTTTTTTTTTTTTTCTTTTTTTTACTAAAAGGTACCTTTCCTGAGTTTCAGGGTCCTCTTCTGTCGTTGTCGTTTCCATGTAGGATGGCTCGCTAAGTTGCAAAAAGTCAGATTCTGCGTGAACAAATGAAAATTGATCAAAATTGATTCTTTCCGTGTAATATACAAAATTCTTACTATTACAGCGGTTCACATAGATACAAGTATCAATCGTATATCTGTCAATGTTACATCATGCCCAAAACAAGGGGTAATACTAGACACATATAAAAAAAGTAACAACATCGCTATACATTTGACGATATATAATATATAATACGCATTTTCAAATCAGCCAACTATGCAACCGCTTTTCTTACACTTCGCGTGTATATTATATTAATCTCGACGATTCGTTAATAATATTTTACGTGTTTATTTAATGGTCGTGTTTAACGATGTTTTATTTCATAATGTCTGCCACAGGAAGTGAATAGTATATCATCGATACGTGTCATATTTAATATATATATATATTACATATAATATTCGACTCCCTATGCTCGATTATGAATTCTTTGTGCATGCGATCTACGATTATTAAATCTTAATTTTGATTTAATTTCTTCCTCGAATTTTCGATTTTCTCACGTATAGTTTAAATTCTATAGCACTAATAGCAGCGCTCGAGAGTCTATATCGATTAATTTTTAATCATTAAGTACGATATAATTACTGAGGCACGTTTAAAATAATTCTCACAAGAAAGGTTTCGAATTCTTTGAATTATTTTATTTATAAAAAATATTAAAATCTAAAAATAAATAGGAAGAAGATAACTGTAATTGACATCGCGTAACAAAATATTATAGAACTCGATAAATTATTAAAAAATTATATTATATACCGAACAAATTATTTAATTATATAAAAAAAATCGAACAAAATATAATATAATCAATTTAAATATAGCTTATACGTAATTATATTTTATGAAGTATTATTTTATTGCACAAAAATAGGTATACTTGTTTGCAGATATATATATATATATAAAAAAAAAAAAAAAAAAAAAAGGGAATAAAATGTTACAAATAAAGCGTATCGTCACTTCGATTCAATTACTTCAGAATTTTTTTAAGTTTCGCTAATGAAGCAAAATGAAAAGAAACCTTTCTTGTAAGCAGGACTGTGCTGCACGCAGCGAGCTCGTGTGAAGCGCTGATAAAAGCTACTGAATAATAAAGCGTTTAGCAGTTAGTTGTAAGATATATAAATATCTAAAACTTTTTGATACAACAGAAGAATTTTACTACGGTGAAAACTGAAAGGGGGGGGATTTCTTCGGTGGAAAATAAGTAAGAACGTTCGTAATAGGGATGTCTAATTCGTAATAAGTTCTAAATCGATTCTATTCGAGTGTCGATCAAACGCTACCCTAAAAAGGATTAATACTACTTAATCATAATAATCGTCATGAAACAAGATAGGAAAAAAAAAAAAAAAAGAAAGAAATTCTACATCAATACACGCTATGTTTGAACAAATTTCTCAGACGAAAATGATATATTTACTTTTATTTGTTTGTTTATTTATTTATTTTTACTGTAAAGATTCGCTAAAGAAAATATTTCGAACGAACAAAGAAGAATCAATCAATCAATAATGATAATTCGAAATTCAACGTCTATGGAAATGGAATAAAAAAAAAAAGCAAAATATGTTCAACAAATTATACATTTCTCGACAGTTCGAGCTTTATCATTTTAGCAACAACTTATCGTACTTACAATTTTCGACCGAGGAAAACGCTCTCTGGTTTTGACCGTAGCTCTTTGAAACACCCTGCATATATAGTGGCAACAAGTTTAAAGGGGCGCGTACTAACTACTATCAGTTAGTGTTGTTAGACGAACGGTCAAGTATTATTATTTGCAAGTATATTAATTAAGGTTTTGGATAAATCAGCTTTCCTTGGAGAGATGGAAAAAAAAAAAAAAGGGAGAACGATTTTGTGCATTCTCGTATGCGTTCTTCCTGCACTTTTCTTCCGAACATTTTTTCTCTTCCTCTCATCGAAACAAACTTTTAATTTCCTTTTTTTTTAAATATTGAAAAACAATATAAAATCTTTCAAATTTAACATTTTGATCTATCGGTAGATAGAAAAAATTGAACAACATACAACACTCACGTTTTTTTTTTAAAACAAACGTTTTCTTAAAATTCTTGAATATTATTTTTTTTTAGTATACTACATAATAAGTGTTTACAATTTTTTCAAAAGCTAAAAACCAGCTAATTAGCTAGAAATAAAGAAAGATAAAAACGAAGAGAAGATGCAATTAATGATATAATCGCGAAAACGAAAGGCGAAAAAAGGTAGCACGATAGAAAAATATTTCTGATCGGAAGAAAAGTTCAGGATTAACAGATAAGTGGTGTTTAAAGTTGCACAGGATCATATCCGAAGTGCTGTACGGGGAACGAGGCACGATGATTTTGTGCGATCGTTCGGCCATTAGCGAGTCACATCTTTTTAGCAAATTCTAAACACACAAAAAAAAAAGGTTGGTGGAGCGTTTCCAGTCTCGTACAGGATATCAAAAGAATCTAACTCTAATGTATGCATTCTGCACTGACAAGCTGCATCGATACTCGCATCGAGATCGATGTACCTTTCGAAGCGGTGATCCGAACTTGTTGATTCGTTGA